TTAAATGTTCATAACTGTTTACTCATGATAGCTCACAACTGGAACTAGTCCAGATGCTTTGCCATGGGTGAAGCACAAACAGTGCTGAATCAGCACAAAAAGGAAGGACTTACTAATACATGCAATAACTTGAATGAACATCAAAGAAAATTTCCCAGTTTAAAACAAAGTCAATTTCAGAATCTTTTCACAGGCTTTTCCTTTTTTTAGTCCTTTGAGGATTTCACAACTCATGTAGTATCTTCTGATCAGATATACTCTCTCCTCCAATCCTACCCCTATCCTCCTCACCATTTTCCTTTCCCGACTCCGGTGCTCTTTTTAAAAAGCCACTGAGTCAGCTTGGTGCTGCCTGTGGATGCATGGGTATAGACCATCTCCTGGGTCATGGGCAGCCTCTCGGGGCCAAATCCCTAAATAAAACTGACTTTCCCACAACAACTGACAGCTGCCAGTAGCTCTCCAGCTAGGATGGGACTTCATGAGCCCCTCTCCATTCTTGCTGGGATTTTGTCTGACTTGATCTTGTGTTTGTAGTCACAGGCACTGTGAGTTCATGTGTAAAAAGGCCTTGTTGTGTCTGGAAAATACCTCTAGCTCCTAATTTTTCAACCCCCCCTTCTGTTATGATTCCTGGGCCTTTGAAAGAGGGACTATGATATAGATGTCCCATTTAGAGCTGAGCTCCCCATGTCTCTTATTCTGTGCACATTGACCAGTTGGGGTCTCTGTATAAATCACCATCTACTGAAAAAAGGAGTTTCTCTGATGCAGACTGAGAGATGCACATGCAACTTAGGAAGCAGCTTATTACTACATCAGGTTAGCAGAATAGTGGTTGCAGGTCCTCCCTAGGGTCTGTAACTCAGCCAGCTCTGGGGTTTTGGCTCTGTTAATGGTACCAAGCATGAATTCTAGCTTGTGGGTTGGACTTCAAATCCAATCAGAAAATGGTTCCATTTCAAAATCATTTATTGTTCCGTTTATGTAGCATAAGCAAAGATGAGCAGTTGCTGAGGACTAGCTCTGGTGGGTTAGAGAATGAGCTCGCTGCAAACAGCAAGTTTGAACTTGGTGGTATAAATCCCATGTTCTGACTGTGGTAGTAACTATAAAGCTGCATGTCCTGGTTAGTTTTTTGTCATCTTAACACAACTAGAGAGTCATCTGGGAAGAGGAACCTCAGCGGAAGAATTGCTCCCATCAGGTTGGCCTGAAGCCAACTCTATGGAGGCATTTCCTTGATGGCTGGTTGATGTGGGAGGACCCAGCCTCCTGTGGGCACCACCACTCCTAGGCCAGTCCCTGGCTTGCGTAAGAAAGCAGGGTGAGCAAATCATGAGGAGCAAGCCAGGAAAGAGCATTCCTCCATGGCCTCTGCTTCAGTTACTGTCTCCAGATCTGTGTCTGAGTTCCTGCCCTTATGATGGACTGTAATTGTAATCTGAAATAAACCTTTTCCTCTCCAAGTTGCTTTTTGTTAGGGTGTTGTCACAGCCATACAGAGCAAACTAGAATGTTCTACTTGTGTTAAAGTTGCGTAGAACAAGCACGTATACACAAATGAGTTTGTGCACAGCTGGTTAAGTCTAACATGCTTCTCTTGGGAGCAGAGTGAAGGGGGAATGGAACCGCTCTATAAACCTATTTGTAACTTCCTGTAAACTGTTTCAAAATAAAGGAGTTTTTAAAATCAAGGTCATGTTTTTTGATTTCTTCATTTAATAACTGTAATTTTAAAGGCCTTTCTTATTATTGTAATAAAATTAAAGTTATGTGAACTAATGGTCACACAGTGAATGTAACATTGGAATTCCCTGATAATAAGGTTATAGAGTTCTTGTAATAGCATAATGACACAATATAATTGTACATTCACTTGACTAAGCTCGAGGCTACAAAGACAGAAATAAACCTTAATAAGGTAAAGAACTTAGTTTGTATTCTCATACTTGCTTTAGCTAATGAATTTTGTTGGTATTTGGTGCTAAGAATCAGACCCAAGGCCTCACACAGGCATCCCACCACCAGGCTGCAACTTCCCTCTGAGTGAGTCAGTCTCTCTCTCTCTCTCTCTCTCTCTCTCTCTCTCTCTCTCTCTCTCTCTTCTCCTCTCTCCTCTCTCCTCTCTCCTCTCTCTCCTCTCTCTCTCTCTTGGTTTTTCAAGACAGGGTTTCTCTTTGTAGCCCTGGCTGTCCTGAAACTCACTCTGTAAACCAGGCTGGCCTCGAATTCAGAGATCCATCTGCCTCTGCCTCCTGAGTGCTGAGATTAAAGACATGCACCACCACCTCCCAGGATATCTCTTGACCTTTTAGAAATCAAGTACAAAATTATGTTAGAGTTGACAGTTTTAATAAAACTGATGGAATTTGAATGAAATAGGCATATCTGATTAGATTGCTAACATTTTGGGGAGGTGTATGTTTTAGTTGTTTAACCTAGTTTGGCATCAAACTATCCAGCTCGAAATGCCTACCTCTGAAATGAAACTGAAACACTTATTCAAGATGTTCAAATACTGGCACATTAGGAACCATCTAGAAGCTCTACTCAGAAGCCTTTATGTCTGTAACAGCTCCTGTTATTTCTATAGCATGATAGTGGAAACTACAGGGCAATAAAATAGATTGTTATCTCTGGTCTAAACTAACCTATACCCTAATACCAGTTTGTATGCTTACATGTGATCAGTACAAAGTAAGTGTGCGAAATGGTATGCCACATCTAGGTTAGCTCAGAAGGCTTCCATTATGGTAGCATGTGAGCTATGGCAGGCCAAATGTGTGAGGATGGGATTATTTCTCTGGGTTGCACTGAAACAGTCTCAAGTTGGGTACAATAACCAGTGTAGATTGACCTGCTAGGAATCAGAATTCTGAACCACAAATTGGGACAGATAACCAACAAGTGTGAAATTATGGAAATAAAACAGAATTGTATTCTAATGCCATGAGCAGTTGATAGAGGAGCGTTTAGCTCATCATGCTTGAGTTCATTTACCTTCACTGGGTTTGATTTCCTGATGCCATGTTGGGAATGTTCTAGTCCCTATTAGTTTGGAAATCTTGCTGTACTTTTCCATGAGTACATGGAAATAGACTATATTTCACAAATCAGCTGGTGTTGCAGATTCTGCCTCTTAGTGTCAGATAGAAAGTCACATTGACATGAGTTATTTTAGAGACGATACTGCTCACTAACAGAATCAGCCAGCTAAGCCGAAGCAAAGTCACTTTGGCAAATGAGAAAGAGGTGGCAGCATGTGTGTCCTGCTCTGCAGTGTCATTCTGACTCAAACATGGGCAGATGTTACAGTATGGGACAGTTTATTCAGCCATAGGAAGCTGCCTTCCCGGGTGTAAAAATACCCAGGAAGCAGTTTCCTTTGTCTCACTCTGTTAGGTTGCCTTGTTTCTTATAGCGTTCTATATTCGTGTGCTGGCCATCGCTCTCCCAGAAACAGGCTCGTAGCCACAGCTTTAGAAGCATATTAGCTGTTCTCAGTGGGTAAGATGCCAGCTAATGTAACTATTGGACCACAGTAGAAACATGCATTTATTTCCTTAGGTTTCCATTTGCAAGTAGAAAAGGAACTAAAAGAGAAAAGTTACCTGGCCTCTTCTCAAGGCCACTTTTTTCTCCCACACATGACTTTTACCCATGTCAAGAGCTGTTGCTTTGTTTTCTTTGAATCAGATTCTCCTGCTCTTTCTCACTCACACTCTTGAGCTCCCTCGACCTCTAGCGCTCTCGCTCTCTCTCTCTCTCTCTCTCTCTCTCTCTCTCTCTTACTTTTTTCTCTCTTGTTTCCCCTCTCACTATCTTGCTCTCTAATCTCTTGATGTCCCTCTCATTGGTTTGGAACTGGCTGTGCAGAGCAGGCTGGTCTTGAACGCAGAAGTACGTGCCTCCTCTGCCCTCTCAAGTGCTGGTATTAAAGGTGTGCACCATCAGCCTGGCTGGACCACATTTTTGGTTGTGCTGTGCACCATCCTTTAGGAAATTCCTCCTTTCCTGTACCCTGCTGTTGTCAGCTGATGTATTGCCTGCTCCTTGATCTGTCCTGTGGATCTCTACTTTGATCTTTCTTGCATGTGTAGACATGGTAGAGCAATAAACCAAGCCACCATGGTGAGATACCCACTCACACCTGAACCCACCGCACAACATAGGAGGGACTCGCCATAGAAGGCAGTGCCAGGTAATCTTCCTAGAAAACTGTCCAGAGTTTCATAGTCCACACCCTCATTAATGTGATTAGCTGATCTGTACGAATGACATAGTATTTTTAGTGTGTGTTTTGCTACCTTAGTGGTGGCTTATGTTGGCAGTGCTGAAAACATTGGTGAAGGGAAAACTTGTTAATTTTTCTGATGGATGATTTGCTCTGACATTTTTCAAGAAGGTATATGAAATGTAAGTAGAACTGTGAAGCCATTTAGAAATTAAATGGAAGGAGAGTAATGGCATTGAATTACTACAATAAATTCTGGTTTCACTCTAGGGGACAGAGTACCATTAGAATCATTAAAATGTATTCGCTAACTGTTAAATACTTTCCACCCACGAGCGTGCTAGTTTTAGCTGCTCTGTCCTCCAGGTCTTTTGCACGCTTACCACTTAGAAGGCAGGCCAGTAGCCATCTTAGAAATGCTACCAACCAGGTCATGCTGCACGTTTACATTCACTTGTCTCTGTCATACAATTTCAACAAAACCCAGAGGACTCCACAGGTATTAAACTTTTCATATTTATATGAGAATGTAAAAGTATAATTTAAGGCAAAAAACAAAAAAGTGCATTATTATAATAGCCCAGTCCATTTTCCTTGTTTCTTTTCAAAATTGCTAGTGCATTTACATCTAACGTTTGGCTAGGGGGTCATACTCTCGGAAAAGTTGTTTTCTTTTCACATACTAATTTTCTAAAAGAAAACCAGTTTTTAGAGGATTGTGATTTAATGTCTTCTGTTTACAAACTTTGAATTTTCTTTACAGAAATAGATATGTTAAATAAAAGTCTGACAATTTCCCAGAGAAATAAAGTATGCCTGGAAGAGGAAATGAAAAATCTCAAATTGTTGTCAGATGCCGCCATATTGAGGTCTCAGCAGATGCAGGTGTCCAAACAACATGAAGTAAACTTGCAAGCCAGATGCTATGATCTGCAGAAGGAGGCGCTAGGTAAAGAGAATTCCTTCTTGATGTTAGCAGCTAGCTGTACCGGAAATGTCTGCCGCCTTCTTAACGCCATAACAGTCTGTGTTAATTCATTTGTCTTGCAAATATGCCTGATAACAACCGTGATAACTGTCTGTGCTCTGTGTTTGTGGTTGTCCCTTGCTCTCTTACCATTGAAAGCAGCAGAATTAAGTGGGTATGTGAGAGACCTTTCGAGTACAAAGTACGATCTCAGCAGAACAAAATGGGATTTACTTTGCTGTCGCATTATCCCTAGGGGATTTTTGGTCTAGGTTGCAAAAGGAAAATGGAGCATATGCTGTGTGTAAGAGGAATCCAGATTTTATTTTCATTTTTAATGTTTTATTTCTAAAACTTCAACAGTTTGTGGAGGAAAGTGATAAGGTTTTCAAAACTTCATGTTGAATATATAACCCTGAATTGTAATATGCTTTGTAATTTTTGTTGTCATAAAATGCATGACCTTAAATGTACCATTTCAAACATTTTTAACTATTCAGTTCGGGAGTTTTGAAGTATATTTATTTACATTTTCTGCAGTAGATGTGTGGAACTTTTTCACACTGCAAAACTGAAACTTTGTAGCTACTGGATGTTCATTTCCTCTCCTCCTCAGCTCTCAGCAGCCGCTGTCAACTTTGTTTCTGTGAGTTTGACTCTCCTAACATGGTACAAATAAGTGAGATGATGTGGTATTGGGTTTTTTTTGTTTTTGTATCTGGGGTTTTTACTTATCACAATGTCATCTGTGCTGGCACACGTGTCAGAATTCCTTTCAGTCCTGACTGGATACAGTTGTCCGTTGTGTGTGTGGGCACTCCTGGTTCTTTTTCACTCATCTTCCTGTGGACGTCTGGACGGTTTCCATCTCTTACCCATTGCATCTGAGGCTGTGGAGAAGGTGGATCTACAGATAGCCCTTGGAGGCCTTGCTCTGGGATCTCTGATGAACACCCAGAGGCAAGATGGCTACATCATTTGAGCGGTGCCCATACGGTTTCTCTAGTGACGATATCATTTGACGTCCCTGCCATAATGGCGCCAGGCTCTTGTCTCTGCACCTTTAGCAACATTTAATGTTTTGAGTGGTCATTTGCATCTTCTATGGGGAGCTGTTGTCTGTGTCCTTTGCCCATTTTAAAGACATGGCTATTTTTGTTTTGTTGTTGTTGAGTTGTACAAGTGTCTCATAAGTGGGACATATAAACTGCTTGTCATGTATGTGGCTTTCCCATGACATAGGTTGTCTTCTCAAGCCATTTATTGTTTACTTTGATGCAAAGGCTCTTCCCAGCTGAACAGGCCCCGTTCTGTGTTTTACTTTTGTTGCCCATGAATATGATGTCATAGCCAAGAAATCACTGAAAAATGCAATATTCTAATTTCTTCACTTTTCTTTCTCAACATGAATCCAGAATTTTAGACAGTTTGGGGAATAAGTCTAAGGAATACATATTTCTACCTGAAAGTATTGAAAATTGTCCATCAAGATAATGATAAAAAAAACAGTATTTTAATCGGAGTGCATGATGTGAAATCCACAAAGAGTCAATAAAAGAAAGAAAAAGGGTGATATTTTAGAAAGATTGAGTCTTGAGGCAGTGTGTTAGGAAGGAATGAACACACACTAATGCCAATCCAGAGAGGGATGAGTGTTGGAAGAGAAAAGAAGGAGTCATGCATTCAGTGGCCCCATGAAGTCAGAACAAAATGTGAAATTTAATTTAAAAATTGTAATTTTTATATGTGCATATGGGGGGGGTTATTGGTGTTCCCCGGTGCACATGTGGAGGTCAGAGGTCAGCTCACTGGCATTGGTTCTGTCCTTCTACCATGGGGCTTGATAGTAGGAGCAGATACCCTTTGAGCCATCTTGCCAGCCCAATAAACTGTAATATACACCAGTGATCAGTTATTTTTCCTTTGTCTTTTGGTTGCCTATTTAAAGTGGATTTATTGAAGGTTCTCTTGGTAGCAGTTTGTTTTGTTGGAGTTTGGCTGACCTGGACCTCCTGCTCCTCTTGCTTCAGCCCCCGAGTGCCTAGATTCCAGATGTGTGTGGACTTCCCAGCTCCTCTTAAGCATTTTGTTTGTTTTTAAGACAAGGTTTCACTGTGTGACCCTGACCAACCTGAAACTCACAGAGATCCACCTGCCTCTGCTTCCTGAGTGCTGGGATTCAAGTGAGTGCCACTACTCCCAGCCTCCTCCTGATAATTTTAAAGAGCACTTTGAATAGTACGGATGTCAAGTGTTTTATATATTCAGTTTTTCTAAAGTGCATTTTTATTGAATATTTATGGTATCACCATATCAGAGGATTGTATTTTGGTATAACTAAATGGTGATCTTTTTTTTATTGTTTCTGATTCGTTTTAGTTAAAACATTACATAATGTACATAATTTTAGGATCCTTTCATTTAACATATTTTTGTGTGATATGAGATTGAATGATTCAGTTGTATTCTTTTCCCACTGTACTAGTTTATGTGTAATTAAATCATCATTTTTACCATCTAGCAGTAGAATTTCCTGTGTGTTAGTGTCTATTACTACATTTTCTCTTGTTGTACTAATTCATTTCATATGCCATTAATATTAATTTTAGCCGAGTGCCTTATTAACCCATTCTTGCAAGTAGTATTTTTTTCTGATGTTCTTTAAATATATTTGATATGTAATTATTTTCCTCTTAAACCTTTTATGTGTGTGTGGTAGGGGGGGCAGTGTACATATGTGGCAATCAGAGGTCAAAGTTAGGTGTTTTCCTCAATTGATTACCATCTTATTTTCTTAATTTTTAATTCTTTTTACAATTACCTATTTTAATTTATGTGTATGAATGTTTGGCCTATATACATGCATGTGCACCAGTTGCATGCTTGGTGCCCTCCAAGGTCAGAAGAAGGCATCAGATCCTCTGCAAATGGAGTCACAGATAGTTGTAAACCACTGTGCCAGTGCTAAGAAACAAATTCCGATCCTCTGGAAGAGCAGCCAGTGCTCTTAACTGCTAAGCCATCTCTTCAGTTCGTTCTCTCTCTCTCTCTCTCTCTCTCTCTCTCTCTCTCTCTCTCTCTCTCTCTCTCTCTTTCTAAGACTGGGTCTTTCACTAACCCTGGAGCTCACCACTTGTCTCTTCTGCCTGACTGTCAGCACCCAGAATCCTCTGTGTATGCTTCTCAGCACTGGGTTACAGTTGGACCACACTGCCTTCCCAGCACTGGGTCACATTGGACCACACTGCCTTCCCAGCACTGGGTTACAGTTGGACCACACTGCTGTATCCAGCTTTTTAATGTCAGTTCTGGGAAGTTGAATTCAGGTCAGGCCTTCATGCTTTTAAGGCACATACTTTACTGACCCATCCATCTTTTCAGGCCCTGTCTCTTTAAATTTTAAGATAATGTTATTACCTATTGTTGGAAGGCTCTGACAAATCCCTAGTAAAGTTTTTTTTCTCTAAATTTTATACCATCTTCTACATAGAAAGTTACTATTACACATAAACTTAGGACAATTTTTTTTATTTTTTTGAGACAGGGTTTCTCTGTGTAGCTTTGGTTCCTGTCCTAGAACTCACTCTGTAGACCAGGCTGGCCTTGAACTCACAGAGATCCACCTGGCTCTGCCTCCCCAGTGCTGATATTAAAGACATACACCACCACCACCCAGTTAGGATAGTTCTTATTACATTATAATCCCAGTAGGGATTCTAGTTAGAATTGTATTATAAGCATAAAATTTTAGAGAATTGATTTTCTCATCTGAATTCTAGTCATTTTTATCTACAACTCAGGTTTTCTAGGTATGTGATTATACTACCAGGTGCATACTCTCATAGTCTTAGCAGTTCTAACAGTGGTCAGAAGTCAAAGTTCAGAGTCTCTTGTAAGACCTAGATGGTCTCTTTACCTGTGATCCCTGTGCAATTAAAAAAAGTTACGTGCTTCCAACATACAGTGACATATAGTAGGCATTCCTGATATAAAGGAACACAACAAAGAATGATTGGCTCAGGGCACAACTTAGACCAAAGCCAATCCATCCATAGCCAGTATCTAGGGTACTTGGTAGTGTTATCTGGACTCCAGTTGATTTGGTGACTTCTAGTTCTATTGTCTGCAACACACATAGCCTCTCTCTTAGGCCTGCTCCACTCTGTGCTCTAATCCCCTTTCTTTGGCAGACTCTTCATGCTCCTGGCATCTCCAGAATCCTGGAGTCTTCATCACACCTTAAATTTCACTTCAGGCCACATGATAGTCTCTTAAGGCTGCCTTGCAGGGATTCTGACCCTATCACAGATTGCCTGGCTTCAGTGGCTTTCTGAAATTTTGGCCAAACTCCATCATCCTGTGGCTTTTTCATTTTACACTCTTCCAAAAACATGTCCATGTGGATGACACTGCTAAGCTCTGCTGATCACTCAGGGTGTAGTTTTGGCCCCTTCTGCAGATCAGTAGTGGCCTCTGCATATCTCTGTAATGGTTCCTTTTAATTGTCACATTGACACAATCTAAAATCACCTGAGAAGAGTCTCAATGAGGGATTATCTAGATCAGGTTGGCCTGTGGACATGTCCTTGGGAGAGTCTCTTGATCACATGACCTGAAATGGGAAGACCTGCTCACTGTGGGTGGCACCATTCACTTGTCAGTGGTCCTGGATTGTGTAAGAGTGGGGGAATAAGTGATTCATTGCTCTCTGCTCTTGACTGTTGATGTGGTTTGACTAGCTGTTTCAAGTTCCTGTTGAGTTCCTCACAATGATGGACCATAATCTGGAATTGTGAACCAAATAGACCCTTTCTCCTTTAAGTTGCTTTTATTGTGGAATTTTGTCAAAGCAACAGGAAACAACTAAAACAGCCTTAGTGGCTGATCTTGGAAAAACACTACCAGTTTTAAGCAGGTGTCTCAGTTCAATCCCTTTCCTTTCGAATGAATTTCCCTGTTACATGTTGACACTCCTGGTGGGC